GTAGAGATGAGTCTCACTATGTTGCCCAGGCTGGTCTCAAACTCCCGGCCTCAAGCGATCCTCCTGCCTTGGCCTCCCAAAGTTCTGGGATTACAGGCATGAGCCACTGCACTCAGCAAAACAGTTCTTTGGGAAGAGCAGTTTGCTCTGGGTATGAGGTTGGGTCATGAGTGGAGGAGATGGAAGGGGACCAGGTGGGGCAGCTGGAAGCCAGGAGGTGGACCCCAGAACCACCCCGAAGGAAAAAAAATTGATAGCCTAATACAGTAGCTGTATTAGGAGATGCCAAGATGTCAGCCTGTTTTTGCTGTAACAATGTTAAAAGATGCAGAGTGAGTGGGGCAGGACAATGGGTTCAGCTTGGACATTTTGAAGGTCGGATTATCTTGAAAACCCCAGGACTAATAGAGGGGAAAAGAGGACCCAGACAGTCATTTTGCTAAGCCTCCATCTTGTCTGGGGCTGGGGCTGAGGGGCAGGAGGGACGAAGACAGGCGCTCAGGGGCTGAAGGAGCCGGCCTGGCCTAGAGCAGTCGGTACACTATGATGGGGTGGCAGAGAGTCGCGTGTGCTGAGTGAACGGCAGCTTAGAATGACACCCACCCCCAGCCCCCAGGAAGGCCTGCTTGCTTCTATTGTTGGGGGAGTGAGGGAGGGAACAGAAACACTGACTAGGACTAATTAAATTTGTAGGCCAGGCGCGGTGGCTCACGCCTGTAATCCTAGCACTCTGGGAGGCCGAGGCGGGAGGATTGCTTCAGCTCAGGAGTTCAAGACCAGCCTGAGCAAGAGCGAGACCCCGTCTCTACTAAAAATAGAAAGAAATTTGGCCGGGCAACTAAAAATATAAAAATTTAACTGGGCGTAGTGTCGCATGCCTGTAGTCCCATCTACTCGGGAGGCCGAGGCAGGAGGATCCCTTGAGCCCAGGAGTTTGAAGTTGCCTGAGCTAGGCTGACGCCATGGCACTCTAAACCGGTTGATAGAGTAAGACTCTGTCTCAAAAAACCAAAACAAAATGAAAAAAAAAAAAAACAACAACAACATTGACTAGAGACTAATTACATTCATTAGTGGGTTTTTTAGCACTGGGGCAATCTGTGACTCGGCCCCAACAGGATATTAAGACAGATAACTTTTATTGAATGGACAGCGTTCTTTATCAAGGCCCCCGCCAGTGTGTCCTAGAAACTAATGCCAAGGCTCCTTGCTCAGATCTGGGACGCTCCTTCGTGGGAGGAGCCATGGTGGGGTCACTGCCTCCTTGGCAGCCCAAATACCCCCTTCCCCCACTGGCCACTCCTCAGGCCAACGAAAATAAAGGGGAGCACTGCAGGCACAAGGCCGGGTACTCCAGCATCCCGTACTCGAGGGGAGGGCACCAGAAAGGGTGAGGTGGAAAGACAGCCTCTCAGGCCTGGCCAGACAGGGCAGGCAGCTTCAGCTCTGGAAGTCATTGAGAGCTCTTGGGGTTCCTCCTCCTCTCTCACGCACACTGTTGAAACCTCTGCTTGAGTCAGAGTCCCAGGATATCAAAGTTAAAAGAGACCTGAAAGATCATCGCATCCATCCCTCTTGTTATCCAACGTTAGATACCAAGTCCCCATGGGAGGGGAAGTGACTTGCTCAAGGTCACACTGCTAGTTTTGTCTGCTAGTCTCCCAGCAGTGACTCCCAGGTGACCCTTCTTCCTCCCCTTCTCATTGTCTCCCTGTAGCCTCAACAAAGCCACCCCTTTCCTCTGGCAAGAACCACACAGCAGCCAAAGGCCCAGGGCTGGCAAATAACAATGAGGCCACACATATGCAGAACACATTTAACTTTCACAGTGACTTCCCACCTCCGCCTTTGTTCACACTGTCCCCTAGGCCTGATAGACTGTCCCCAACTTCTGCAGGTCTAATGCCTACATGTCCTGCAAGATCTGAAGCAAACGACACCTTTTCAAAGCCTTCTGTTTCCTTCCCACCTGGTATCTTCTCTCTTCCTCCTCTTCTTCATGACACCTTAGCTTGGCTTCTCAGACCAAAGCAGGGCTTGGCAAACCATGGCCCATCTGCCAAATCCAGCCCACTGTCTGTTTTTATATGGCCTGTGAGCTAAGAATGGTTTTTACATTTTTGTTTGTTTGTTTTTGAGACAGAGTTTCACTCTGTTGCCTGGGCTAGAGTGCAGTGTGGTGTCATCATAGCTCACTGTAACCTCAAACTCCTGGGCTCCAGTAATCCTCCTGCCTCAGCCTCTCAAGTAGATGGGACTATAGGCGCGCACCACCACACCTGGCTCATTTTTTATTTTATATTTTTTGGAGAGATGGGTCTTGCTCTTGCTCAGGCTGGTCTGGAACTCCTGGCCTCAGGCAGTCCTCCCGCTTTGGCCTCCCACAATGCTAGGAAAACAGGCATGAGCCACCATGCCTGGCCCTGGTTTTTACATTTTTAAGTGATTGGAGAAAAAATCAAAAGAATACTTTGTGACACATAGCTTTATTGGAACACAGCTATGCGCATTTGTTTATGTATTGTCTATGGCTGCCTTTGCCTTATAAGTAGTTGTGACAGAGTTCATGTGGTCCACAGTGCCTAAAATATTTATCATCTAGACCTTTACAGGGAAGGCTTGCTGACCCCTAGACTGCGAATGAATTCATCAGGCTCATTTCTGAGAAGAATGTCACAGAACACTTGGGGATGGGAGGTGCCTGGGAGGAGTGTGTGGTACACCAAATACAAGTCAGCAGATTTTCACCAGAAAGAAAGTCCTGGTCTAGGGTTAGGAGACTGGAGTTCTAGACCTGCCTCTGCCCATGATGTGACCTAGAGCAAGTCACTTCTGCTTTGTGCACCTCTGTTTCCTCATCTGCACGATGAGGGGGTTCGACTGGGTGGTCTAAGGCCCTTTCTAGCCCTGTGATTTAGAAAGTCAGCGATCTCTTGCATTTCCAACAGGCAGGCACGGTCCTGCTCATTTACTGTCAGAAGCAAAGCTTACAGAAGGGTCCCCTGCCCAGCTGTGGTTTTCCACTGCCCTTGTGGGCCCCTGTCGCTCCACACTCACCTGCCCAGCCCTGCCCTTCCCTTCTGCTGACCTGTCTGCCCTTGTCTCTGAATTCCTGTCCCTGCTACATGAAAATGGCCTCTTCTGCAAGAGCCCGCCCCTCCCCCCCAGTCGGGTGGGCTGAAAGCCTCCACTTTTTTAGAGGGGGAGGCAGGGAAAGGACTCTCACCTCTCCCCAACCTCTCAGGGCCCAGAGCAGACAGGCGGTGGGGCAGGAGATAGGGCTAGCTCTCACCGCACCCCAACTCTGCCAGCGGAAACAGCCCCTCTCTGCCACTTCCTGTCCCAGGGGTTTCAGCAGTTTCCCCTTTGGGGCCTGCAGGCCCTCCCAGCTCCGCCCCTGCCTCACACAGGTCAGGGAGTGCAGAGAGGGGAGGATCCCTCACAGGAAGGCTGAGCAGACAGCTGGCTACACAAGGGGACGCCCCAGCAGCAACTCTACCGCCTGCTTCCGGCTAGGGGCGGGTACAGAGGGATGCATTACCTGGGAGGGAGACTGGGGCTGTCTCCACAAACTGTCCCCTGCTACCAAATGAGTAGAAATGACGTCATCACTTTACCTAGCTATTGCCCAGGGGTGGGGTGAGCCTAGCCTTAGAGGATTGGATAAAAAACTGGAACATAAATGCTGAGGTCAATGTCCAGTAAGGATTAGCCCTGGGTGGCTTCACGAAGCAAGAGGGCCTGAAAGCAGGCCAACGATGAGGGGTTAATTCGGAGGGCCAGGTGACACTGAAATCAATGTCACTTCATAGTTTTTCAGGGGGCTTGTCCTCTACGGCCAATGGACGAGGCATCAATGGATAGCAAAGTCCAGTCATCCCTTTGTATCTGTGGGTCACAGGCTCCAGGACCCCTGGGTACACCAAAATCTAAGGATACTCAAGTCTCGCAGTCGGCTCTGCAGAACCCACGTGTGAAAAGTTGGTTGTCTGAAAATGTGCGTTGTGCACCTGGCAAATACTGTAAAAAAATTCACACATAAGTGGACCCGTGCAGCTCAAACCCATGTTGTTTAAGGGTCAACTAGATTATATCACATGTGGGTCAAGGGTAGTGGCATTTTCTGGGTGATGGAGTAAGGAACTCTCACATTCTCTAGTGGCTGATGATTTGGTGTGGTGACTTATACTTGGAAGATGGGGATCCTAGCAGTAGGGTTGTGTGCCTGTGACGGATCCTGTAGGCAGGTGACCTGATCGGTGAGACCTTCCCAAGGGCATGGGTCGGAACAGCAGCAGCAGCCGCCCAAGATCCTGGACCTCTGCCCAGTTGTCAGTCCCCCTGGAGACAGGCCAGAACACATGATGCTGTTTCTAGAAGCCTTGAGGCCTGAGACAGGGGCCTAGTGGTAGGTGGACACAATCACCTTAGTCCCCTCATGGTAATGTTGTTCCATGAGGGTCAAGGATTTGTGAAAGAAGCTAAGGGGACTCCTAGAAATGATGGTTCTGCATGCGCCAACAAAAAACGGATGAGAAGATGATCTTGATACCTCCCCTGGCTCTTAGAAGTTATCCTCTCGCACCTTTGGGCAAGAGCCCTGCCCAGACAGGCTTCCTGCCAAGAGAGCAGGGTCCCACTTTTCCCTATCCCCTCTCCCTCCATGGCTCCCCAAGACAAATAGGAACCAGTTCCCCTGAGACAGGCCCTGTCGCCCCTGAGGGGAGCGCCTGCTTCTCCACCCCTGTGAGTTGGAGTGAATACTGTTTCACAGCTGGCATGGGGGACGCCAAGGAAGCCTCAGAGACAACATCTGGATGTGCACCTGGGCCCGGGCCAGCCCCTCCCTACATCTGCAGTGCAAACCCAGGGCCAGGGTTTGGTTACAATCCTTGCTCAAAGCTGGTGGCACGTGTTCAGAAAGCACACTGCGCCTGGGTGGAGGGGGTGGAAATACTTGAGGTCAGTGCCAGCTCAGGGCAAGCATTTGTGGGGCTGACACCGATCTGAGCCGGTGGTGGGCCTAGGGTGGCGGGTGTGGCCGCTATGGCCTTGGTCATGGCCGACTGGGGGAAGGGCAGAGGGGCGTGGGTGGTTGTGTAAATGTGGGCAAGATTTTCCTTCAGTGCCCTCTGGTATCACTTCTAGTTGCTCCCTCTGCTTCTGGGCAAGGGGGCCAAACAGTAAAAATTACAGGGTGACAGGGTGGAGCGCAGGGAAGGCAGCAGGGATTTACAGTTCTGGGGTTCGGGCTGTGGGGTTGGTGTTGTGCCAGGCACTTGATGTACATTATCTCCTTTCAATCTTACATCATTCCTACAAAGTAGCTAGCAAGTAGCAGGGCCGGGGTTTGAACCCAGGTTTATTTCCAAATACTATATGTATTGAATTTTGTTTTCAGTGAAATCTATCTTGCTAATAATTCTGTTTTAACAGTTCCATTTAACAGTTCCAGCAGAAGTGAGGCTCAGAGATTAGGTAACATGACCAAGGCCACACTGCCAAAGAATGGAAGTAGAACTCAAACTAGGCCTGTATGGCCTTGATCTCCAAGTCCTTGCTTTTCTCTCTGCCCTAGGATCCCTAGCTCAGGGCTTGCTCACAACTCTCAACTTCAAAGCCTCAGAGACCCTGTGAGGTCCCTTTAACAAAAGCTTCCCAGGCCTGTGTCCCATGCTCCTTGAGGCTTCAATCTCAAACCAAAGCTGGGTCTCATAAGAGAATCCTAACTTCCTGGGCCAAGTCTGTACCAAAAGGGTAACCACTGGAGCTCCTGTGGCCAGCTGCAGAAGAGGGGGATTGTGGAGGAGGCTTCCAGCTCTGTTGATGTGGAAGCCGACTCTTCTTGTACCTCAGGGGCCTACTACTTCCAGAGAGTTCCTAGCTTCAGACCTGAAGTAGCCATGGCATGGTCCCTGCCCCATAAATATACACTCGCTCTTGGCTTACACATAATGTAAGTTTGGGTTCTTATCTTGGGGTGTTGGTTCACATGTTTATTCAAATATTTATGGAAAGTCAGCCCTGAACACCTCATATGTGCCAGGCCCGTGGCCAGGGGCTGTATCACCCGGCCCACCCTATTCTCCTCGGTGGTAGGTATCTAAGTTCCCAGTAAGCTGGGTTAGCCCATCTGCCTAGACAACATTGCAAGGTTCCCCACCGCCCCCTCTGCCGCCAAAAAAAACCCACGTCTATAGCAAGTATCTCTTCAGAAATGAGACCCATCAAGTTGACTGATGAGGACAAAAAACCAAAACTGAGGCCCAAGGGTTGGGGGGAAATGGGGACTGAGTGTTAATGGGTATGGGGTTTCTTTTGTGGGGGCGATGAGAATGTTCTAAAATGGATTCTGGTGATAGATGTACAACTCTGTGAATGTACTAAAAACCACTGAAGTGTACACTTTAAGTGGGTGAACTTTATGGTATGCGAACTGTATCTGAGAAAGCTGTTTTAAAAAAAACAACCGAGGCCCACAGAGGGGCAGCAGCCCATTCAAGGCCACGCACAAGTTGAGGTCTCCTGATTTATGATTCTGAGGCTCCTTCCTCCTCCCAGCCTCCCTGTGACCCTAAGCAAGGCTAAGTTCAGATCCAGCGCGTGTGCACGGCAGGTCCAGCCCTGTGCGTGTGGGTTGGAGGCTGGACTGAAGCGTTAGGGTAGGCAGTGGAAAACACGCCAAACCAGGGGCTTTCATTTCAGGTCTGCCATGAATGTGGCTGAGTCCCTGCCTCTGTCTCGATCCCAGCATTCCCAGCTGTGAAGTGCATGCATTTGGGGGTCCTTTGCTAAAGGATTGGCTAGCTCTGACCCTCTGAGGTTCTAATTAGAAAGCACTGCAAGACAGAACAGAATGGAGTGTCAGATACGGGCTCTTCTCGGAGTGCTGCAGGAGGCCTTTGACACAATTAGGTATTGGAATCGATGCTCCTCACTGATAGTGATGATCAGGGCTTTTCTGCGAGAGTCAAATTCTCTCAGATAATCCTTCTGCTGTGTTTCTCCATGGGGGGTAGCTTGGTTCAGCTTCCCCATCCCCCAGCAGTGTTAGTTGGCGAAGCAACCCATAATATTGACCCATTGATCATGTCCTTTTGAGATGTCAGGAGCCAGGGTCTTGGCTGGGCGCCCAGGCAGGCAGCCCCACCTTGGGTCAAGTTTGCCTCCATGGTGGAGGGAGTGATTGCCGATGGCCACCGGTCCAGTCTCTACCGGACAGGATGTTTCGATGTTTCCACCATCAGGCCCCACTTCCTGCAGCTAGGTCTGGGCTCCGGTTTCCCCCCTCTCCTGCCATCTGGTCGCCTGCCCTCTGCCCCCTCCCCTTGCTGGGTGTTTACAGGCTGCCTTATCAGCCTGGGGAATCTGGGCCTCACCCAGCCGCCTGCCCCGCCCCACCAGGCCCAGACAGCCGGCCCAGGGCCCTACCTGCTCTTTCGTCACTAAAGGCACTGGCAGCCTGGAGCCCCCTGTGCTGCTGGCAGGCAGGGGGTGTGGATGAAGTCTTGCTGCCTGGCACAGGTCCTCAGTGCCTGGGGCCCTGCCTGCTAGAGTGAAGCCTGAATATGCATAGTGCTTTACCCAGCTGGGAGGGCATGCGTTCTTTTGAAATTGTCCTCTTCTCTATCTGCAGGCTATGGGGACAGAAATGAGAGGCTTGGGCTGCTGAGGAGGCTAACTTTGGCCTGGAATGTCTCGATGGCTCTTCTGTCCTTAGCCACCTAGGGATGAGCAAGGGCAGCGCTAGGCTGGAAGGCTCCGAGACTGCAGGCAGATTGATTTATTGTTTTTAACTACAGAGCACTATAAACACTAAGCTACAGGAGGAGCTGAATGGGGGGCTGCAGGCTGATTGCGATGGAGGAGGTGAGGCTGGGAAATCGCTGGGCACAGTCTTGGCCATTCCACACCCCGACTTCCGAGCCTCGCGGATCCCAAGCTGTCTGTGTCCATCGCACCCTAGGATCTGTGCCCACGGAGAGGCCGGGAGGAGGCAGGAGCTAGCCACTGAGCAAGTCAAAGGACCTTCCCCCCAGAATATAAGGGCCTACATTTTTCCATCAAATGTGTTTGAACCAAGGAGGGAGACACGGGTGAGGACGGCAGGCAAATAAAGATGCTTAGGGTAATGGATTTCCCTCCCAGCACTTTGGGCTAAAATCCTGAAGGTTCAAGTTCTGACCTGCCTGTAGGCAGGTCCCACAGGGACAGGGCCTGCTTTCTAAAGCTAACCAAGCCCCAGACTGGGAGTCAAAGCCATGGTCCAGACCCAGCTCATCTTCCAGAAACTTTCGTCTTGTTCACTGATAAATCATTGAAAATATATTTGAGGCAGTAGAGTGCAACATTCACATTCAAGATCAAATGCCATATTTCCAAGAAATTTTATAAGACTATGTCCTTCTAGGTCTCTGGAATACAATTCAATAGTTTGAGGCACTTGGGTGGGAAAGTTTAGAAAAACTCTGCTAAGGCAATTTTGCCATTAATGGGCTATGTAACCACAGGCATGCTATGTCACATGGCTCTCACAGCCTTGGGCCTCCCTGACACTGGAGATTTCAGAGTTCCTCGCAGGCTTACTGACCCTAGTAGCTGTCAGGGCTCCACGTTTCTTCCCTCTATCAAAACTTTCAGGTTGCCAACTCATCTCCCCAGGGAATGGACTTTCCTACCACTCAGAAAAATCATAAACCATTTAGTATTAGTGTGTTAATAGCCGATACTGGGTTAAGTGTCATCTCTATCCTTAATACATTTTCATTTAAGGAGATCATCTGAAGCTACCATGCTTTAACCCAAGGAGGGGGCTCTAGGACAAGTGGTGGTGCAGACCAGTGGGGTAGATGAGCTAGAGGGTACTTCTCGGTGGTTCTACCTCCGGTCACATCAGTAGCCATTGAGCGAGCTGGCCTTCACATCTACACCCAATGCCTGTGAGCTCTGTTAGAAAGCTACGTGGAGTGGACGTGAAAGTCCTTTGAAAAGCTAAAAACCAGGACTGGTGCAGCAGACAGCCCATTTGACTGGGAGTGAGGAAGATCAAGTTTCAGTCTTGGCCCTGCCTCTGCCTAGCTCCTCCCTCAGCTTCTGAGCTGGTGCCAACTCCTACTCCAGGACACACATTCAGATCTATGGCTGCGGCCATACCAGCCAGACACAGCAGAGCCTTAGAGTCCAAACTCATCTCCTTGGTTTCCAAAGGTCCTTCACAGTCTGACCCCACCCTACCTACTTGGGCTTGTTTCCCATGATTTCCCAACTCAAGCCTGGGCTTCAAGCCCAGTGGTCTCCTCATGGTCCCCTGAGGGAGCATTCCAGGCTCATTCACAGAGTTTCTCAGGCCTGCCATGCCCTTGTTGCTCCGTTTTGGCTAATCAAATAGTGCCCATCCAGCAAGGTCCCAACCAAGTTCCGCAACCCCATGAAGGTGGCTATGCCCCAATAAATATAGTTCACACCCATGGAGCCCCCTTCTATAAACTCCCGTAGCCCATACATTCTACCACAAAAATCTCTTAATCCCATGGGGCTTTGAATTGCTCTTTCACTATTTCATGTGTATCTCTTGTTTCCCCAACAGGCAGTAAAATTCATGGAATCGAGGGTTATTTCATCTTCTCCTGACTCTAACACATGTCTGGGCATTCATGAATTAAGTCCGTGTAAATTCTCAACTGGAGTGAGATCTCTACAAATGAGACTACAGGTCCTGATAGATCTTAGGGCTACAGACTAGGGGTGGGTTGGGGTAGAATTGGGGAAAATTGTCTCTAGGGTTCCACCATTAATTTTTCTCTCTTGCTCTAAGCCTCTGTTAGGGGCAACACATACCAGCTAGAGTCATTTATTCCAAGCAGCATTGAGAAGGCGGTTGATGATCAGGTCATCATCAAAGCATTCTCTCTTTGTACAAAACCACAGTGTTTCCACCCTGGGAATATTGATTGCTGGTCTAATCACTGGACCCTCAGGAAAGACTTCATGATGCTGGATCAGGTCTAAGAGCTAAAATGATTCAAGAGAATGGGGTGGGAGGATAACTATATGAGGACAC